CAGCAAGTGGGACACCATGCGGTTAAAGGTGGCGGGGGCGTTCTTGAGCCCCTGCGGCATGACTAGCCATTCCCACAGCATTCCACTGGGCGTGCTGACGGCGGTCAGCGGCACGTTGTCTTCGCGCATCAAGATCTGATAGAAGCCGTCCATCAGATCAATCGCGCTATACGTGGTGCTGCCCGACATGGAGTCAAGAATCATGTCCTTTCGTGGGATCGGCGTTTGTGCCGGGATTGTGGCGTCGTTAAGCTTGTTGAAGGCGTGGACGATCCTCCACCCCCCGGTCGCTTTCTTCACACAGAACGTAGGACTGGAGTGGGGTGACAAGCTCTCGCGAACGTGGCCGGCTTGCCGGCGACTTTCGAAAAAGGCATCGATCGCCTCGACTTGGTCGCGGGGAAGCGGCCACTGTCTGGTGACACAGTACTTGGCGCCAGGCACGAGATCTATCTCGTGTCGGACTCCGCGATCCGGCGGAAGGGCCGCCGGAACCTTGTCGGGGAAGATGTCGATGAATTCACGGACGAGAGGGGCCACAGGGTTACCGGAAGCTTCGAGGGCCGGTAACGATTGTGCAGCGTAGCGCGCTTCACGGGCTGATTTCGGTTCGGCGCCCGTGTGGCGCGTCTGGGGGTCCGGCGCTGAGGCATCGGTGTCGACGTGGACAGTCGCGATGAACGCGGCGTCGCTAGCTACGAGTAAGCATACTTGTTCGACGTCGCCGTGCTTTAAGTCGCGGAGGAAATGTTTCCAAGAGAGACCGGGGAGCTTTGTGATTGCCGCGGCGTCGCACGGTGGACGTGCGACCTCAACCTCACGGCGACGCGGAAGATCGTTCGAGGCGTGTCCAGCAAGGACTGTGATAGTCTCGAACTCGCTCAGGACGGAGTCCTGCGACGGGGCACGAGGTCGGCGGGGGTTACGGCGACTACGACGACAAACAGGACGGAGTACATCTGGCGATGAGAGCCCACGCTCGATCATGGCGAGATCGGTTGGGCGCCGGGGTATGTCATCGGCGCCGGGACACGAATCATGTAGAACGATTGCATCCACAACATCAAGGAGCTCCCGCTCAACCATGCACAGGAGCTCAGGCTCGACCATATTCACAGGTCCAGGGAGCTTCAGCTCGACTGCGCGCGGGAACCCCTGGTCAACCGCGGGCAGGAGCTCACGCTCAACCGCTTCACGAGGTGGGAGCCACTGCTCACCAAGATGTGGGATACTCAGCTCGACCACATCGGAAACGCCCTGAGGCTCCGACTCAGGACCGGCACAAGTTGCTGGAGCACTGGCTGCGTATGAAGGGCCATCGCTCTCTTCAAGTGCAGGGGTGGTCATGGAGTCGGGGTCCATGACAGCAACGTGTGGCCAGAGGCTGGGCGTACCGCTCAGGTACGCCAGTACTGCGTTGATATCGATATCGCGTGGCCGAACAGTTCGGGTCAACCAGTCGATGTGAGGCTGGTGACGCACTAGCCACAGAATGCCGAAGACGCAGTCGAATGAACCGCTCAACTCGATCACCAGGAAGTCGTCCGAGCTGGAGAACCCGTCGAATGCATACGCAAAGGCGACCGAGCGCCGGGGCATCCGACGCGGCTTGCCGTCAGCGTATTTGACGACCATGTGGCCTGGACCTTCGCTGATGCGCGTGGTTGGCGGCAACACCGATAAGCTGTCGGCGCGAACGAAGTTGTTCGTCGCGCCGGAGTCCAGCAACGCACGGATCGGGCGCTGGGCGCCGTCAACGTGAAGACTAAGAATAATCAGTCTCGAGTCGCTGCCGGAAGAGGTGGCGAAAAGTCGTGCGTGAAGCACTGGAGGGCTAGGAGGAGGCTCTGCCACCAGAGATGCATCTCTCCTTCCATTCCCAGTAGGGCGCCCCGCACCTACTGGTTGTCGCCGTTATTTTGGAACGGCGACCTCGGACTCCACCGTGACGTGTGCCAGGACAGGTGCCGCGCGCGGCACACCGCCGCGCGATGTCCGGGCTTGCGACAGCGGAAGCATTTCATCGGACGTTGGCTGCGCGTCGGGGAGCGCGGTGGACGTGTCGTCGACCGAGAACGATCGAAGTGGCGGATGGCATCAATCTCCATCGGCTCTGGTTCTGGTTCGGAGGCCGGAGCCCGACTGAAATCGAAAGCTTGAGATGCCGCGACGCTGTAATCTTCGCGTAGGGCCACCGCGAAAGCTTCTTCCAGCGTAGATGGGGACTTCCGCGTTAAGTAGAAGCGTTGGTAGCCGGTGTTCATGCCGGACACGAAGACATGGACTTGGGTCGCCATGTCAACCGGATGTGTCGTGATGCACGAGATGAGGTGACGTGCCCGCTGGATATACTCGAGCATGGACATCTTGCCTTGCTGCAACGACAGGAAGGCGGAACGCTGGACTCTCTCATCTTGGGGCGGCTCGAACGCGAGTCGCAGGTCAGATTTCATTGCAGCCATCGTGGGAAAGCATGAGGGGTTGACAACGAGTTTGCCGAGGGCCCACTCCTTTGCCTTCCCCGTCAGTTTGGAAAGGAGGAAGCGAGTCCGCGCGAGCTCGGTGGAAAGCTGCCGGGCTTCGACTGCGATAAACACTTCGCAGAACCATCTGTTCAAGTGGAGGCGACCGTCGCCCTCACCACTATAAGAGGAGACATCGAGCTTGACGATGTCAGTCCTGTTCTTGGACAGCGTGGGAGTCGACACGCGCTGACGGAGGTCAGCGAGTTCACGCGCCATGAATTCTTGGGCGGCAAGGCGATGTTGAGCTTCGGTTCCAGCAGTGAGCAACGTGTGGATGACAGCCTCGCCGGACGCAGCAGCGAGGCGGTGCAACGCCTCCCATTCGATCGAAGAGAGGTGGGGGAAGCTGTCGTGCTCCAGCGACGTGTTGGGCAACTTCGGGCATCGGCATGTCGTTCATCGTGAGCGTTGGACGGATGACGAAGTGCTACCAGGTGTAACGGGCTTTCAGCAACCCGTTACCTTACGTACACTGTGCGTGAGGAAGCAGGCAAATTAGACTCTGAGATGTATTGAAAGTTAACGGCGTGGTCTCGGACCACGCCAACCAGTAGATGTGTTCTACAAGCTGATTGGCCATCGCATTGGATGCGATGGCGATGTGTGACGATGGGCCCGTCACAGAAATGCATCTCCGGATGGAGACCCGTCTGCAGGCTGATACAGAAAACACTTCCCTTGATTATTACCGCAAGAACACCTTTCTTCCTTAAATCCTTTGGTCTTCGTTGGCATCCGCTTGTCAGCTAGCGCATACGTCAATTGCCGCTCAATAACGCGTCGATTGCATCCATCGCCAAACCGTGCCCCATGATGTATATCCGTCCACAGCACAGATTCCTCCTGGGCGAAAGCTTGCGATTTCAACACTCGGAACTTGCAGTTAAAATGCTCCCAAAGTTGCCAAGGTTTCAAGTCTTCCAACCGTTCTGCCGGTGCGTAAGTAGCATGTTTGCTCCATGGAATATCATGCGTTTCCAGCAGCATATAGAGAATGAACGGACATTGAAGTTGGGTCCCATCGAGTCGAATCAACCCGCACGAGATAACTTGATCAAGCGTTAGATTTCCGAAAAGCGAATTTCCATCGACCCTCCGACGAGAAATCACCGCAAGAAATGTTTGCTTCATACTCTGCATCTGGGCAACAATCGCAGGGTACGCTTGTCGAATTGCAGCCAGCACTTTGTGCATCACCGGAATGAATTCAAAAGCTTGCCCCTGGCTTTGCAGCATCACTTTAAACGATTCTTCCAATGCTCTGCCATGCCCGCCCATGTCATCCACCAATAGCTGCGTCAAAGCTCCATTGCCATAGTCGAATGTATCAAATACGTCTCTACCGTTGATCTTCGGGCGCTTCAATGATGTCTGTCGTCTGCAGCATCTCTCTCCATTGTGGCGAAGCGGCCAGAAATTCATCCACTGGCTGGGAAAGAGTCGCCGCGCAGATCACAATCAGCCAGCACTTGGAGGCATTGACGAGGTCACACAGCGACGCAAACGCCGTATAAAACTCGGAGCGCTTGCTTCCTGGTTCATGCTGAAGCTTTTGCAAGCTATCGACACAGAGAATCACGCACATTTGGCTCGGATCCGTTCCAGTGATTGCTGACAATTTTGACAATACTTGTGCAGGGACAACATGATTCGCATGATCCAACGTAAATTCCCCCCAGACGACCGAATCCTGCAGTTGGTACAGCATTCGAGTTCCAATTGCCTGGCCCGGATCGATAAAATTACCTGGCTTGGTTGTTCCATTTTCAAAGGTAATCTTGAAATTGTAGGCTGTCTGTAAAAGCTGCTTCATCGCTGGATCTCCTTGCGTCTCATCGCGAAACATTTGCTGCTGCAAGATATTCGGAAACTCGTCAAGCAATCTCGACTTTCCAGTCCCGGGGCCATCTAAGCACACGAATAGCGGATGACTTCGCTTGTCCGTCTTCCCATCTCCCCAAGCTTCATAATGACAACCTATGGCGGATGCAAGGTTGCCAAGATCCAATGAATTCTGGAAATCCCATGTCGCACCAGTCGTCCCGACCAGAGGCTTTGGCTCCTTCCAAACGAACGATTGCTGCGATTCTGTCGGCGCCACCACTTGACGCTGCGTCGGCACTTGCACAATGAGCGCATTCTCTTCATTATTCCCATACGCCGTCACTGGGGACCCCGACTGGGGCAGCAGCACGCTTCGCTTCGCATCGTACTCCGCCCGATTCGCAAAGACTGTGAGATCGGCCGCAGCAATTCCTGGGAGGTGACTGTCTCTGAACTTCTCCTTTACCGCATCCCGCAACGCAACAACATCTTCGATATCCACGACAACAGCATCAGCCGACGTCACCGCGTTCCCATCTTCGCCTACGAGCTGGAACCATTTCCGCGCCATCCTTCAATCTCAAACGGCAACTTCATTCTCATGGCTGTCTGTAAGGGTGTCTAGGGGTACTTTCGTTGCTCTTATATGGAATGGCTGGGCGGATGTTGAGCGGACGACGAGCGGACAAGACGAACATCATTCTTGCTTTCTTTGGGGACGGGGACTCATACTCGTCACCTGCAGTAGCTACGCGGAACAACCGTGCGCCCAATCAAGCTGTCGCTGCGATAGACGCAGTCACACCGGCGTCAATGACTCCTCTGCTCTCCAGCATCGATCGCATCAGCGCTGCTCTGGAAGCTGCAGTGGCACATCCTCCACCGCCGACCGGTACAGTGCGTGTGTGCCACGCAACGGAAGACGAGTGGAACGCGTTTGCAGACAGCGAGGATCCAATCGTTCGACTCAATTATCTTGAATGGTTTCCTGACACGGAAGAGATTCACATCATCGAGTTTGCCGACGCTCCACACGAAGATTACGTTGGAGAGCTAAACGATCAATTTCGTGAACGGCATGTCAAGCGATGGCTCAAAGGCCACTTGGCCGCCAAGAATTGTCAAGGGCGACAATGGTGCTCAGATCTCAGTTATGGACCACGCGAAGTAACACCCGGCTCGGTGCTTCCTCCAAACGTTCCAATATTTGCAGACTTTCGGACGATTAAGGTTGAGATTGGAGTTTCTCAGCAGTGGGGCATGGCACCTGGAGAGCTCGACCACAAGGCGATTGCGATATGGGCTGCGATGCCAAGAGTCGAATATGTGCTATGTGTGTCATTCGATCCCGACTTTGCGAATGCCGAATACAAGCTGTATGATGCTCGCGTCCATCCACTTGTGCAGCTGGCTCCACTATCAATCGCCGCTCCAAGCACGGTGATCCAGTTGGACGGACGTCGAATCCTTGGTATTCCGCCACGGATGGCGCTCCCGGTAGGGTTTCCTGCAACTCTGTCGGTGGATTTGTACTCTCCATTGGCCTGGGCAATGCGTTAATCAGACGTCCAGCAAACTCTTGCGCAGCAACTACCGAGTGATCTGAATTTTATATTTAAAAAAAATAATCATGAATTCATGAGATGCGTGGCAGACCGGTTTTATATATACCGGTATGAACCGGATTCTATTGTGACATTGCACGGTGACTCTAAGAGTGAATACTGCGTGAGTATTTGTTTTAATACTCACAGAGTTTTATAAAAAAATACCACGAGAAGTGCCGTCGTGTACTTGTTTGTCACATCTCGTGAATTTGTGGGTATGTGAGTACAGTACTGCACCCCGTTTTCGCGAGGGCGGACCATTTAGGATTTGCAAATAATTTAGATGTAAGCATTAAACAATAGTTCATTTGGATTTAGGATCATCACATCCGGAAGTTTATCAAAGGTTCAAGGGCGCGAAAATGGAGTGCAGTACTGTATTTTAAAATGGCCTTTTTTAGCCACCATATATTTTGCTTTTATATGAAGGGTGTCGCCTTTAACAAAATGTAGAAGTGGACTTGTTTATCTTATGTACTAGCAATATGCATGACTACTGAAAGGTCGTCCGTTCTGCAACCACCAGCTGAAGTGCGTCCGTTGTAATCTTCAACGTGTTGCACTTGTACTAAAGCAAGTGCCGTCGTCTCGTGAATTTGTGGGTATGTGAGTATTATAAAATGACCTCTTTTAGCCACTCCATATATTTTGCTTTTTGATGAAGCCCCCCCTCCCTGCTCACAAATATTTACTAATGTTATAAAGTTACTATAGGACATGTTCTAATTGAAAGCTTTGTAAGCATTTTGCAATCACTCTCACTTTCATCTAAAATCTATCTCCTATTGAAATTAGATGAGCCAAACCTTGTCTCGGTCATTGTTTCGTGTAAAAAAACCTTTTACGGACATACTCGACACATTTAACATGAATACAAGTCATATGATCCACTCGCTAATGTGCAGAGTGACATAAAAAAAAATTATGATCTTGAGCGACGATTATGTATAGTATAAAGTATAACTTTAGTAATATAACAATGTGCAGCTTTATCAAAAAGAACGGAGAACAGTGTTTGCTAGCTCGCAACAAGGATCGCTGCGGCAAGCATCCAATTATTATGGATCGAAAAAGTATTGTCGCGGAGTGTAATATCGTAGAAGAAATGTCACCACAAGCCAATACCCAGTCGTCGCTGAGGCTGTTAGCGCCATCGGTGATCGAACCCGTCGAGGCCTCGAATGTAAAAGTAAGTGAAGTTCCAAATGTAGATGAGTCGATTGTCGAACCGATGATCGTGGATAGCGCGGTATATAAGGAGGAATATAATTCAGATTCGGAACAATTATATAATTCGGACGATTCTGAGAATGACGTGACCTCGACAGCTAGTGAGGTCATTAAACCGACCGAGTCGCAGTTGAGCATATCTTATCGTGTGTGAATTATCTTGAAAATCGTGACGAAATTGCAGAAGCTGAGAACCTTGTTCTCGATCAGCAACAAATCGACGTCTTGCGAAAGTTCGTTGAGGTTGATACAAAAAATAATGCTAAAGGCAAATATATTGAAAGCACGCTCAAGCGTGATTCTATGGTAATTGATCAGTTTGAACGCAAAATGAAAAAGCGTAAGGAGAAACCGGACGTCAAGCCAAAAGCCACGACTAGAACTGATGCAGAGGCTAAGGGCATCACTTGGGACACTTATGGACTTGAATACGGGAATAAAGACATTCTGAAGTTTTCTGAAGTAACCGATGCTTGGCGCTCACTTGCGAAGGAAATGCAAATCGATCATCAAAGCATTAAGAATGCAGATCCACAAGTATTATTCAGTCAGGGTTATATCTCACCAATCCAACTTGAAAATCAAAAGATGGCAAAGTAACCTCGCGTAAGCGTATCTACTTCAAATCAGATGAGGACAAAGAAGCCTTCTTAGGGCTTTATGAAAAACTTAGTCTTGTAGAATATTGTGTGTCAAATGGACTATATGATCAGCGTCTATACAAAGTATGCTGCATTATGAAGAGATCCTGGTACTGTGATAACTATAATACTTGGAACTTGGCTGGTGTGCTATATCGCAAGCAACACATCGATCTTGGCTTAATGCGGAAGACATATTTGTGCATTCTCAATACAATGGCAGATCGATTTGATCAAGCCGCTGCGTTGAAAGTGCTCAATGATTGGAAAACATCCAAGTATTACCCCAAGCTAACTGAATCCCAAATTAAATCTATTGTTGGAAACCGATCCAGATGGATACAAGGAATGGAAAGCGGAGTATGAACCACAAGAAGTCAAAGAAAAGAATGAAGATAAGGAAAAGAGAAGACCTTTAGATTTTCTTAAGGAGAAGCTGATTGAGAACGTCAAAGACAAGTATAAGCGTGAATTTCAATCTGGAGCAATCTATGAGAATTTGCTTCCATATTACTACATGTATGCTCGTAAAACTGTGTTTCTGAATGTAGTGTTTGCTGATGAACATATGTGCAAGTCCAAAGATCTTCAGCAATTGCTGTATTTCACAAAGAATATCATCAATCCTGACTTTGAGTTCATTAAGCTTGACTACAACTACATTGGATTCCGCAATGGGATCTACGATCTATCTAATGCCACGTTTGTTTTGACTACTGATATTGTAGAGAATATTCAGGTTCGAACATACATTGACTCAGAGTTTGAGCTCAATAATGACTATGCTCCGCTACTTGATCAATATCTCAAGCTCCAATTTGACGACGAGACTATTGAATTTATCGATTTCATGATTGGTCGCCTAATGTTGACTGAATGACAAATTTGATTTCATGGCATTGCTTTATGGTGAAGGTGGATCAGGTAAATCGTTATTGATGAATCTTCTTAAGTAGTCATTTGCTTCTGATCCGTTTGGTTGATTAATTATCTAACTATCATCAAGAGCAATTTGGGGATTAAAAGAATATTCTCAAAAACAAGTATAATGCTGTGATGATATTGATAATCTTGCTAAGACTTTACCAAAGGCTGATTTCTTGAGTATGGCTACTCCTGAATCCATTTCATGTCCGGTAAAAGGAAAACAGCGTTTAGTAATTGTGCTTGATTGGAATATTGGAGCTATTCTTAATGACAACAAGCTACCAAACTACAAGGATGAGTCAGGGGAAGTGGTTCGTCGTTTCATGGTCGCTAACTTTATGAATATCATTCCTGAAGAAAGGGAGAACACAATTTTTGAGAATGATATCAAAGATCAGGAATTTGGCGTCTTTCTACACCGCTGTCGATCAACCTATTTAAAGTTTTATTTCAAATATAAGATCAAAGGAGTTGAGTCGTTCTGTCCAGTCTCATTCGTTGAAAACCGCAACCTTCTTCGTATGGCTACCAACTACACCTACCAATTCATCTCCGAGAAATGTACATACGAAGAAGGTGCTTCTATCAGTGTTTCTCAATTGAATAAAGCCCTGAAAGCGTATATCAAGGAGCGATATGAAATGAAGCAAACGTCAAAAGATACGATCAATATCTCAAATTTGATGCTCGTTGATGCGAGGTTTGTAGAAAAGAAGCTGAATATCTGTAAGAGCGTCGCAAGGCGCACATAAAATCATTAGTAAATATTTGTGAATATGTTTGTGAGTATTAAACCACAAACACATATGAACTAGGGCGGGGGCTTCATAAAAAGCAACATTTGGAGTGACAAACAAGGCCATTGTATATACATGTACTGACATACCGGTACCCACAAGATCACGAGCTCGTGGTATGTTTTTTATATTATAAAAATCTGTGAGTATTAAAACAAATACTCACGCAGTATTCACTCGTAGAGTCACCGTGCAATGTCACAATAGAATCCGGTTCATAACGGTATAAAACCGGTCTTCCACGCATCTCATGAATTCATGATTATTTATTTTTAAATAAATATTAAAACTAAAATCAGACGGTAGTTGCTGCGCAGATATTACTGGGCGTCTGATTAACGCATTGCCCGAATCTGAATTATATTCCTCCTTATATACCGCGCTATCCACAATCATCGGTTCGACAATCGACTCGTCTACATTTGAAACTTCACTTACTTTTACATTCGAGGCCTCGACGGGTTCGATCACCGATGGCGCTAACAGCCTCAGCGACGACTGGGTATTGGCTTGTGGTGACATTTCTTCTACGATATTACACTCCGCGACAATACTTTTCCGATCCATAATAATTGGATGCTTGCCGCAGCGATCCTTGTTGCGAGCTAGCAAACACTGTTCTCCGTTCTTTTTGATAAAGCTGCACATTGTCATATTACTAAAGTTATATTTTATACTATACATAATCATCATAATTTTTTTATGTCACACTCTGGAGCGTTCCAGCTGAAGTCACATTAGCGAGTGGATCATATGACTTGTATTCATGTTAAATGTGTCGAGTATGATCGTAAAAGCTTTGTCTCACACGAAACAATGACCGAGACAAGGTTTGGTTCATCTAATATCAATAGGAGATAGATTTTAGATGAAAGTGAGAGTGATTGCAAAATGCTTACAAAGCTTTCAATTAGAACATGTCCTATAGTAACTTTATAACATTAGTAAATATTTGTGAGCAGGGAGGGGGGGCTTCATCAAAAAGCAAAATATATGGAGTGGCTAAAAGAGGTCATTTTATAATACTCACATACCCACAAATTCACGAGACGACGGCACTTGCTTTAGTACAAGTGCAACACGTTGAAGATTACAACGGACGCACTTCAGCTGGTGGTTGCAGAACGGACGACCTTTCAGTAGTCATGCATATTGCTAGTACATTGTTACGTAATTGCGCTGGTTGCAGCGGGGCTGCCGTAGCTTTAGCGTCAGAGGAAGACGTTCGACTCAAAGAGTCACTAATACTAAGTTCCTTATCCAAAGGACACTTACAGCCCAAGACCAGGGCTCAAAGTTAACACCTTAACTTTTATGCTTCAAAACCAGAAGTGTTTTATCTACTATTATTGCGGCCAAGCCGCCTAGGGGTAAATGTATCTCTTTAACTATCTAGCATAGTTAAACCTAATCAAATGCATAACGTGTGGCTTTCAGCCAACGTACTGAGAGACCTTGTTAACTCTCCAACTTATGTACTGAGAGTTTGTTAACTCTCCAGGTACTTCGTACCCCTGTGTGCTCCACACCATGTAACCCCGTTACACTCTCCCCCACTAAGATGAGAACATTCCGTTCTCGAAACTCTCCTCAGCGAGGTCACGTCTTGTTAAGACGGCGGAGGTTACTACACCTCACACCAGCGTTGTACAGCTCCGTGAGCTCACAAACGCCTACGCATCGTTGATGCCCAACTTCTCGTCGTCGGCCCACGGCCCAATGCTCCAAGCGCAGCGCGCATCTTGCTCTCAAGCGGTCTCAGACCTTCGCTCGCGCTCCGCGCCTACTCCAAGAGCTGCAAACCGCTTAGAGCAATGCTCTTGACTCATTCGAGTCGTCGACAACAGCTCAGCGGTTGAACACTCGCTTCACAAGCGATAGGTCCGTGGTTCAAACCCACTAGGGCACAGCCCTCTCGTTCCATGAACGATTGCTCACGCTTGGACAAGCTTAAGGGCAACACCCTTTTAGCTCAATGGTTGAGCGTTGGCTTTGAGAGCCACAGGTCGGTGGTTCGAGCCCACCAGGGCACAGCCCTCTCATACCATGAGTAGTCCGTTCTCGGACTGACGTACGGGCATCGCCCTTGTAGCTCAATGGTAGAGCTCCGGCCTGTCAAGCCAAAGGCCAGTGGTTCGATCCCCGTGCGGGACACCACTTTCGCTGTTACAGCGCATCCACATTTGGATCATGCTCATCGAGCAAGTTGTTTCAAAACAACTATGCGTCTATCGAGACGCTTGTGCCTGAACCTTGTTCAGCACAACACGAAGCACCTGCTTCCTTCGAGACCATGTCCCTAACACTTCGAGGTCTCTCCACCTCCTGCTCCCGCTGCGAGCACCGCTCATACGTACGAGCTGGCTGCTGCAGCCACTGGTCAGAGCCTGAGCTCAACTACTGACCTCATCGCTCCCCACTCTAGTGGGAGGCGCCCAGCGCCTGGCGACGCTGTCGCACGCCATGGTGGCGCTTCGGCACATGATGTGCCTGGTCGTAAGCGTCAACGACGTCAGGGCAATCTTGCCGGAGGATAACCTCAAACTCCCATGAGTTCTGTGAGTGAGGGTAACCCCTCCACTTCACTAAGTACTGGGTACGACCCTGGCGTCTACGCCACGCCACAAGGCGTTCCACGTGAAAGTGGAGCTCACCATGCTCATCGAGCAGAGCAGGAGGAGGCCTTGCCTCAGCTGGGCTCTCGCGGGGAGAGTCAGCACTTGCCGGAACGGCGTCTGCGTCCATACGACGCCGGCGTCCACGACGCGAACGTTCACCTCCCATCGGTCGATCTCGAAGAGATGATCCACCTTGTGGATAGGTTAGAGCCACCACTGTTGACTCACAACCAGGTCTCGGACCTTGAGCGTCCAGCTGCTCGGCTGAACGTTCAGCTTGCCTTGCTCCTGCATCTCGAGCACTTCGCTCCGCGACCTGTGGCTCTGCCACATGCTGTTGATCAGCCATCTGTGGATCCACCACTTGCTGTCGTTCAGCCTCCCGTGGCTCTACCACCTGCTGCCCTGCAGCTGTCCGTGACCCAGCCACCGTTGGTGCCAACGCCTCCGCGCTCACCTGAGCAGGGTCTTGGTATGGCTTAAGCAAGCCGACATAGAAGACCGGATGCGTGCGCATCTTCTTCGGAAGGTTGAGCGTATACGCTAGGCCCTTCCTGGCCACGACCTTGAACGGTCCTATGAACCGAGGTCTTAACTTCGTCTTGAAGACTGCAGACACTGCATGAGTAGGTAGGTTTTTAGCGTTTAATAAAACTTGGTCACCGACCTCAAACCTCTCAACATTGCTTCTGCCCTTGGCATCTGCATGTTCCTTCTGCGTGTCTTGGCTTTCAGCCATAGCGTCGCGTACTTGACGCATTACGCTCAGTCTCAAAGAGACAAAGTCATCGACTTGCTTGCGAACCGCAACAGGGCTGACATCAGCTAGCCGCTCGGCTATCCCTCCCCCACCAAGCCCTGAGCCACTGCATGGCGGCGTCAGTGGGACGCGAGAGTTAACCAAGCCGTTCACATAGAACGGAGTATAGCCTGTCGAGGCGTGCACTGCATTATTTAATGCGAGCTCAACGAGTGGGAGCATCTGGCTCCAGCGTTTTGGCGCCTCAGCGCATACGCTTCGGAGGGTATCCTCCACAACGCGATTCACGCGTTCGGTTTGACCATCGGTCTGCGGATGGTCCGCCGTGGACATGTCCAAACGAGTGCCGAGCACTCTGAAGAGGGACGTCCAGAACTTCGCGGTGAAGCGCGGATCTCGATCCGAGACAATTGCCTCAGGCAAGCCATGTTGGCGAAAGACTCGGTCTAAAAACAGCAAAGCTGTACCTTCACCATCAATGGTGTCCGGCACTGCCGCTAAATGAGCCATCTTGCTCAATCGGTCTACAAAGATCACTATACCTGTGTTTCCCGCCTTATCCTTGGGAAGGCCAAACACAGAGTCCATACTCATGGACTGCCAGCATCCCTTGGGGACAGGCAAACTCGCCAATGGCGCTGCCGTGCTCGGCGCGGACTTTGTCCGTTGACACGTCTCACACGTGCGTACATAGGTGCTGACCCACTTATACATCTTGGGCCACCAGTACATCGAGCTCACCGAGCCATAGGTCTTCTCCCGACCTAAGTGCCCGCCC